ACAACTTTTTTCGTTTTGCGCAAGCTGCTACAGTTCCGTTCCGTGTAACAGAAACACTCGGTTTAGCGGAACCTTTACGATTAATTAACCGTGACGTTTTAAAGCGCGGTTAATCGCGAAACCGGTTAATCCCTGCATCCCTATTCCCGGGTTTGTGACATCACAATCCCCTCGGGAAAAGGCAGCAAAGGGGGCGAGGCCTGCGCTGCTTTAGAGAAGAGGAAGAGAAAACTAGAGGTGCATTAAAAATCTATTCATATATGAATCACGATTCTGTCTTCTAACGAATCTAATGGATTCACACGTTTCAAAATCAATGTTCTAAAGCAGCGGTTCTTAATACTGTTCCTCGCGTCCCCCTGCTCTGCATCTCTCTCTCTCTCTCTCTCTCTCTCTCTATTTTAGTAGCTATGTGAAAATGTAATTATGGTAAGGGGCATAACATTTCCGTAACACGCTTGCGGTATTTGGCCAATCACAACGCACTGGATAGCTGGTCAATCAGAGCACATCTCGCTTTTTCAGATCAATGAGCTTTGTAAAAATCGACGTGTTTCAGAAAGGTGGGGGATAGAGGAGAAACAATAATGTACAGTATGTGGAAAATAATGTGCTTTTTTAACTTTAAACCGCATAAACACATTGCATTACACCAAATACACAAAATACTGTTCTTTTTAGCAACGTCATATGACCCCTTTAAACTTTTTATCATTAACCATGTTCTCTGCTGCTCTTGACTGTCTTAGTTCTGTTGTATCAGGCTCCGTCACATTCTCAGTGATTCAGTGTGGTTTTCTCTCTCTGTCTCAGTGATAGTAGCTGAGGTGACACAACCGTCTTTAGGAGTCGGTTATGAGCTCGGCCGAGCTGTGGCACTCAACAAAAGGGTTTTCTGTCTCTTCAGACCTTCTTCTGGAAAAGGTATTAAGACTTTCTCCCACATCAAATGTGACCCTGGTTTTGACAGGTTTTATGAGATTCACCCAGATGTTTAGATATCCACATAGATATTTTTAATTTCCCACCCTCCAGTGCTGTCTGCCATGATCAGAGGAGCATCCACAAACTCGCTCTTCCAAGTCCAGGACTACACAGAGGATGAAGTCGAGAGTATCTTGGAGAAATATTTTGATACTATTGCCAAGAATTGATGAGAACATTTCAGCAAATCTTAACAGATAAGCACAACTTCTATATGCTTCTCCTCTCATTTTAGAAAGTCAGTAGGACTGTCTTCCATTGGTGGGCATTTTATATTACATTTTCAGTGAAAATGTAAATTAAGCGGTGTATTGTTACTTACATGTGAATAAATCTTTTTCAGCTAAACACTGGTGTTACACTGGGTAATGTACAGAAAATAAATGATGGTTCATAAATATCACACTGTGGGGAGTATCCAGAGAAAGGGTTGAGATCCACATACTGTCATTGTTTTGAATTGTCCACCAGAGGTCACTTGATGTCTTTTTACTAAAGCATTCAAAGTGCACAGATAAAGTAGGTTAATTAAATTCACAAGTTAACAATTTCAGAATGTCACAATACAAAGCAAATTGGGTTTTTTTTTTTCGGCTCAAAAATGTGTCCGTCAGGCATTATGGCACTGTTTATGTCATGCATTATGTGATAGTCAGATTCAGGGATAAAAGGGATGTAGTGTGTTGCATAAAAACGTTAATTTAATCATGACGACTGCAATACAAAGACATTGGTTTAGTTCATGGCTGTGATTTAGACATGGAGGTCAGCTATTACACAGTTAAAAACTTTTAATACACAGATCTGTATAAAAATACACATTACAATAAAAAACAAATATACATTTCACCAATAAATTACATAAATTATATTTACACTTAAGAATACTGTTGTTAATGTATCACAAAAATCATCCCATGAAATTCATATTACTATACTGCTTAAAAGACCATCAATATAATGTTAAAGGGAACATTACATTGTCATTTAAAAAAACGTTCATAAAGCAAATACTCGAAGAATAAAACTTACTTGGCATATACTCACTCACATTGAAATATTTTACAGTTTGAACACTTGGCGAAAATGGCTACACATAAACCTGAAATTAAAAGCTCTCTCTCTCTCTCTCTCTCTCTCTCTCTATTTTAGTAGCTATGTGAAAATGTAATTATGGTAAGGGGCATAACATTTCCGTAACACGCTTGCGGTATTTGGCCAATCACAACGCACTGGATAGCTGGTCAATCAGAGCACACCTCGCTTTTTCAGATCAATGAGCTTTGTAAAAATCGACGTGTTTCAGAAAGGTGGGGGATAGAGGAGAAACAATAATGTACAGTATGTGGAAAATAATGTGCTTTTTTAACTTTAAACCGCATAAACACATTGCATTACACCAAATACACAAAATACTGTTCTTTTTAGCAACGTCATATGACCCCTTTAAACTTTTTATCATTAACCATGTTCTCTGCTGCTCTTGACTGTCTTAGTTCTGTTGTATCAGGCTCCGTCACATTCTCAGTGATTCAGTGTGGTTTTCTCTCTCTGTCTCAGTGATAGTAGCTGAGGTGACACAACCGTCTTTAGGAGTCGGTTATGAGCTCGGCCGAGCTGTGGCACTCAACAAAAGGGTTTTCTGTCTCTTCAGACCTTCTTCTGGAAAAGGTATTAAGACTTTCTCCCACATCAAATGTGACCCTGGTTTTGACAGGTTTTATGAGATTCACCCAGATGTTTAGATATCCACATAGATATTTTTAATTTCCCACCCTCCAGTGCTGTCTGCCATGATCAGAGGAGCATCCACAAACTCGCTCTTCCAAGTCCAGGACTACACAGAGGATGAAGTCGAGAGTATCTTGGAGAAATATTTTGATACTATTGCCAAGAATTGATGAGAACATTTCAGCAAATCTTAACAGATAAGCACAACTTCTATATGCTTCTCCTCTCATTTTAGAAAGTCAGTAGGACTGTCTTCCATTGGTGGGCATTTTATATTACATTTTCAGTGAAAATGTAAATTAAGCGGTGTATTGTTACTTACATGTGAATAAATCTTTTTCAGCTAAACACTGGTGTTACACTGGGTAATGTACAGAAAATAAATGATGGTTCATAAATATCACACTGTGGGGAGTATCCAGAGAAAGGGTTGAGATCCACATACTGTCATTGTTTTGAATTGTCCACCAGAGGTCACTTGATGTCTTTTTACTAAAGCATTCAAAGTGCACAGATAAAGTAGGTTAATTAAATTCACAAGTTAACAATTTCAGAATGTCACAATACAAAGCAAATTGGGTTTTTTTTTTTCGGCTCAAAAATGTGTCCGTCAGGCATTATGGCACTGTTTATGTCATGCATTATGTGATAGTCAGATTCAGGGATAAAAGGGATGTAGTGTGTTGCATAAAAACGTTAATTTAATCATGACGACTGCAATACAAAGACATTGGTTTAGTTCATGGCTGTGATTTAGACATGGAGGTCAGCTATTACACAGTTAAAAACTTTTAATACACAGATCTGTATAAAAATACACATTACAATAAAAAACAAATATACATTTCACCAATAAATTACATAAATTATATTTACACTTAAGAATACTGTTGTTAATGTATCACAAAAATCATCCCATGAAATTCATATTACTATACTGCTTAAAAGACCATCAATATAATGTTAAAGGGAACATTACATTGTCATTTAAAAAAACGTTCATAAAGCAAATACTCGAAGAATAAAACTTACTTGGCATATACTCACTCACATTGAAATATTTTACAGTTTGAACACTTGGCGAAAATGGCTACACATAAACCTGAAATTAAAAGCGCTTTTAGTAATATGGCTTGATTATATACATACAGTACTAATGTAACACACGATGGAAGTTTTGATATATTTGGGTGGTTCAGTGCTTCCCTTTATTTTACATGCAGCCCATTAGTGCTACTGTTTACTCTTGAGTACAGACGTCATATCAACAAATACAGTGGCTCTCCGGCGGTGTGTACCTTGAAGTCAATATGAAACAGCATCTGCAACCCACCTTACCTTCATAATGTGACATACTGTATTCCCTGGTGATACAGTATATTCAAATTAGAAAAAGGGTACGGTGTGATTTAAATTGTATTCATTTTTAACTGACTGGATATTGAAAAGTGCTCTCCAAATGAAAATTAAGAAAGCCCTGAAGCCCTAAGAAAGTATTTCCTCTAAAATAATTATTTATTTTTTTATATTTTTGTAAAAACTTACACTCCCCATTAGGAGAGACCCCATTAGTTAACAATAGTTCATGCATTTACTAAAAGTTACTTTGCTTAATGAGAAATACATTTTTTACATTATTTATTAATCTTAGTTGTTGTTAGTATATAGTTCAGGTTAGCTTAGGCCTATTAAATATTAACAGATGTGTGGAAGAACTTGACTGGTCTGCATAAAGCCAAGTCCAAATCCCAGCTGAACACCTCTGGTGTGACTTTAAATTCAGACCTTGAGCCAAAAACTCATCACCAAACACCAGTGACTTATACATATGGACAAAAGTATTAGGAAACCCCCTTTTTTAGAACAGAAAAAGGCACTTCCAAAACTGTGGCAACAAAGATGGAAACATAATTAATGTATTTAAAAACTGTATTTCCATCTTTGTTGACAGTTTTGGAAGTGTCTAAAATGACTGTGTAACCCATATGTACAAGTCATTGGTGTTTGTTGATGAGTTTTTGGCTCAAGGTCTGCATTTAAAGTCACACCAGAGGTGTTCAACTGGGATTGGGACTTGGTTTTCTGCAGACCAGTCAAGTTTTTCCACATTCACTGATGCCCGGTTCAGACTACGCGATTTTAGCCCGATTTCGCCACGATTTGCTTGACGTAGGGTGTCGTGGGGATTTGTAAACGACAATGGGCATCGGGACGCAAGATTCCATCGTTTAAGCTTGTGTATTGTGTCATAGTGGACGACAACTGATTCCGCGTCTGCGATGCTTCACGACAGAAAGACTAGCATGTTTAATTTTTATTCTGAGTTCTGTCACATTGATGACGTTGACCAATAGCAGCACAGAAGCTCTTTCATACACAGGTTTCAAACATGGCAAAACGAAAGAGAGATGGTGCTGCTAGGTGGAATTATGAGATGGAGGAAAGGTTCGTGGAGCTGTGGCAACAGTACTCCTGACTGTATGATGTGTCATCAAGGGACTACCACGACAGAACAAAGAAAGCAAAATGCTGGCGAACTATAGCGGAAGCGGTTCAGCCATGTTTACACTCTTGTTTTCGGAAGTCAGTCGCTAGTTCCGCCTTCTCGATGACATCATGCACGTCGTTAAAGACTGCACGCGATGAATGGTCGGGAAGCAACGTGTAGGCTGACATGTTTCTTGTCCACGCCACGACAAGATTTTAGGAGTCAGAATCGTGTAATCTGACACCGTGACCATCGTGACCGACAAAAATATAGTGTAGTCTGAACCCGACATAAGTCGATCATTTCTTTTTGAGCCTTGCCTTATACACAGAGGCATTGTCATGTTCGAATAGAAAAGGGTCCGGTCCATACTGTTGCTATAAAATAAAAGCACACAATTCCCTAGAATATCATTATATGCTTACACATTAAGATTTGTACTCATGCTTTAATGATTTCATCAGTTTGAAGTTCATTAGAAGGGGGTGTCCTAATACTTTTGGCAATATAGTGTATCTGACACCCACAAACTACAAGATTTTAGGCCTGATTTATCTTGTCGACGGTTAATGGAGATGACAACAAAAGCTATGTGTGACTTATCAAAGACGTTTGAGAATTTGGGAGAGGTGTCCAAGCTAAGCGATGTTAAGCAGGTTAAATATGCGATCCAAGTCCTGTAGTGTGAAATTAGTTTTGACTGTAACTGACATAAGTGATGACAGACGGTTCAGACAGCTTTGAAAGTTGTGTAGTGAATGTGCTGGGTTTTATAGGTGAAGTGTGTGATTTCTGGACCACTGTTGTCACCAAATTGCAAAAAAACAAAACAAAAAAGCTTTCTGAGAACCGATTTTTATTCACAACCAGTTCCATTTAAAAAATAAAAATTCAAAACCGATTGGATGAAGCACCACATTAAAAGACTACTATTCAACAGTGGTACTACAACATAACAGCAACCCAAGTGTAGTCCAATTCCTGAAAGAATAGCACTAAAAATACATTCGTTGTGTTCCTTGTGCACGTGTGTTGAGCTGTGTTCTTGCATGCTATTAAATGGAGTCTACTTTGAAAGGCTATGTGTTCGGCTGTGCACATACACTATCATTTGCATCAAAACTGAAGTATACTTTGGACTCGTAACAAGAGTATTCAGGTTAATGAACAAATGAACCTTCCTTTGCAGGCAGCACCATTGTCACGAGTTCAATTCCCAGGCAGTCCATGAATTGATTGATTGTATATCTTGAATGCAATGTAAAGCCCAAAATATACTTAGGTTTTTATGTGTACACTAGGGTGTGCATGCAGTGAGTATGACACAAATTTCATCATCAGCATAGTATACACACACTGTATGCATAAAAGTCCAGTTTTTCTAATTATTCATACTCCGTATGCTCAGCATGCACATGCACCTTGATTTTTTAATTCCACTAATTAGTTGGTGTCCCTGGTGGCGACTTTAGCTGAAGAGATGGAACAATATCAAACTTTTGGAGGCTGTGACGACAAAAGACTTGTTTTGTTACTAGATTAACGATTGTCCGCAACTAAAGCGGTACCAAAACTAGTATAGAGATGAAACTTTGTAGTGCTTATATTGCAACCGCCTGTGTTTGGGCACGTTATCAAAAGGAGTATATTTTCAAATGCTATGCATTCGGATAAGCATATACATCAGAACTGAAGTATCTTTGGACTTAAGTCCCTGCTGCCAAATACATAATACAAATATAAATTATGAGGCATTTTTAGTAAATGAAAAGCACTGAATCAATAGGAGTGGTTACTAAATTAAAAAGACTCACTGAGCTACAAATTATTGCTAATATGCCTATGTAAACACCATCTGAAAGAACTGTATTACATGTCTTTGCCTTAAATGTATTTTTATATATTTTCAGTTGAAATCTGAACATCATTTGGCAATAGACTGCTGAGAGATGTAAATGCAATTTCTTTTCTCTAAATATTTGGAACCACAATGGTTAAAATCCTTGTTTTCCTGTTCTATTGCCATTGGTTGGACACAGAAATTTCTGCCCTGATGTAATGCCATTGGCTGGTGTTGAGCAGGTCAAAACTCTCAAGCAAACTGTGCTTCCAAAGAGTCACAAGATTTACATTTTGAGGGGAACCAGCCATGTGAATGGCTTATTTACTGTATCTGCATATTAAACTTTTGACATGTGAAAAACACATCCCCATTACATCATTCATGTTAACAGGCTAAACCATATACTGTAATAATTTGCCATCTCTAAAACTGTGCTGCAACTGGTCCAGTCCTGCAGCATCGTTTCCCTGGAAACCTCTCAGTCAGTTTGTTTTGGGCTTCATGGGAAGAACAGCGGGGGCCGAGCTGCAGCGTGTCAGTATTAGCAGTCTCTTACAGGGCCAGTAATGAGCCCATTGAATTACATGATTGCACTCTGGAGGCTGCAAATTGACCAGGCTGTTGTGCTGCCTGTGCCAGTGCGTCTGGGCATGTGTGCTAATAGATTAAGCTTAACAAAATGTTTACTTAAAGAGGTCAAATCATGAACAAACCACTATTCACTGATCTTACATAAAACAGTTCATTGTAACACTGTAATCAGAAAGTCCTACTAAAAATGGCTCGCTCTGTTCTTCCGCAGCTTTGTGATGTTAGGCAGGTGAGTACATTTGAACACACAAAACAT